TGATGCAGTCTTGCCTGTGGAGATTTACTTACAGTCCGTGAGAATCCAAAGGCATGTCGAAATCCCATCAGACCATTATTGAAAAATGATGCTAAATGAGTTAGTCGATTTAGATGAAGAAAAAATATTTGCTTTAGATGTTCTTATAAGACAAAAGGAACATATAGCAAAAACCTACAACAAAAAGGAAGTCAAAAACCTTTGCAATTGGGGATTATGTGTGGAAGGTTATTTTGCCCATGGGTCGAAAAGACAGAACTCTAGAAAAATGGTCACCAAATTGGGAAGGGTCAATTCAAATTAGCTAAGTGTTTTCATGAAATACTTATGAAATCAAGGAGTTATGTCATGATAGTAGAATTCTAAGGGAAAATGGAGAGTACTTAAAAAGGTATAAATCTATGTTGCAAGAAAGTCAAATAGAATGAGAGTAGTAATGCAGGAAAGACAAAAATGCTAAAATGGAATTGAAATCGAAAAATGCCAAAATGGAAAAGTCATTACTACAAATGGAAGTAAAATACAAAGAGTACAAAAAAAATCTAGGACATCGGGTCAGTTTTAATCTTCTCAAAGTGTAATATGGCAAGCTAAATCCTCTAGTTATTCATAGCACCCTCAATCTTCAGTTTGTTCACCTCCTTCTCCAGTACATAAGCATTTTTAGCATGCTTAATACCAGTTGTGGCCTCTTCGATTAACTTCTTCTCGACATAAGTCAATTATGAAGTATTAATTTCAACTTTCTCCTTTTTTGTTGCTTCGATCTTTTACTACAATTCATCCATCTGTTGTGTCCAAATCAGAATATTCGCTTCAAGAGTTGTCAGTCGATCCTTGTCTTTAGATTATTTCCCATTCAGTGATTCCACTTTGAGATTGAGTAACTAAGTCCCTTTACTGAGACATGGCCTCAAATCATCTGTCAAGTCAACTAGCAAATTCCATTTTAAGTCTGATAGTTTGAACAGTTTGCTCAAGAAACGACTCAAAATCAAGAAACTGTTCTCTCAAACAGTTGATTGGTGATCAAGGTTAGTGTTCTCAAAGTCAAGGTTTTGATGGCATGACCCATCAGTCATTGGTTCACGTTATTTATTGTTAGAAGTGTAGTAAAGTGTCAAGAAGCAAAATTTTAGATTTGGAAGGATTCCCTCTAGGATTTATATCGTCTCCACAAGGATCGGTGCGAGAGAAAGAACGTCTTTCAACGGTCTCTACATTTCTAAGCTTGTTGTGATATATTTGTTTATAGATCAAAGGTACCATAAATAAAGGTAGGAAATATAAAGGCTAAAAATATAAAGTAAAGACTTAAAAAATATAAGCGGAGCCTTGTTGGGATTTGATTTCATCAATTGATAACACATGCATTCTTCTAATCAGTTAAATACAAATCAATCATTCGTCTGATATCTTTACGCATCACCCACAATAGAGGTTATGTCTAACGCAACATCGAGAGAACAACTATATTGTCTCATTGAAGATGTCTCATGCAACTCAACAACATAGAGCATTAAGAATTGATACTCAAGCAAATGTTAAGCCTAAATCTATGTCTAGAGTCTAGAACCTAACAGATAATCATCCTAGATCCAGATCTGAAGAGTATATTTTTATAACGGGTTAAATCAAAGATAAATAGGTAAACAAAGATGACATTCATATCAGCTTCATGACTGATTCATATAAAACGCCATAATCAGAATACGTACATACGCTTAACCCTTCTTACATGCATTCAACTAATTTTCCAAATGTAAGTGAACATATTTATTCATCTCTATTATCACACATCCTCACAATACTGTATTGATCCTACTCATGCTACTCATGCTACTAATCAACATAATAAAATAGAAGATACAAGTAAATATCAGCTTACAAGACTATGTCAAAATTTTGCTCATTGATAGATGAATATCTAAGATCAAAGATTTGAAAAAGGTTTTATCAAGACCCACAAATAAGAAATCAAAGGCAACATCAATATTGAATCACAACTAGTTCATAAAACATATATTAGATTAAATACATAAGGTATCAAAAGATTACATCTAAACCTCATAAAGAGATCAAAGCTCTTACTTTCTCCCCCTTAGGGTTTGTGTTTCTCTCTCTAGAATATGCTTGAAAATAAAGAGAGATAAAGTAATGATGTTTAAAATATAAGTTATGTAAAAAGTTATGTTCTAAAAAGAAAGAAAAGTACATATATAGTAAAATAAAAATTGTCATGTTCGCCTAGTGAACACCTTCTTCGCCCGGCGAAGACCACTTTTAGGCACTTGAAGTGCCTCTGAACAGTTAAACTGCCCTTGGAAAATATATGAGTTCATAGTGTGAGCATTTCTTCACACAGCGAATTGCTTCGCTACAGCTTCGCCCAGCAAACTTAGGGCCCTTTTCTTACTATATTCTGCACAATAACACACACGTCAAAGAATACAAAGGTATTTATAATATAATTGAAGAATCACACAAGAACAAGAAATAAATCTATTAAAACGTGAGAGTTGAGTTGAAAAATGCCAAGAAAGATAGTTCAATTTAAGCCAAAATTTTCACTTAACAAACTCTTCCCAACTAAATTTTTGCTTGTCCTCGAGCAAAGTATGCCGCTCATGAAAATAAGAGAGATTTTCTCAAACAAGAGGATTTTCTCAAGCATAATATTTAACCAAGAAAAGATTAATGGTTCAAATTCAAACAAGAGAGACTTGCTCAAATAAGAGGATTTGGTCAAGCATGAAGATGCGGATAAGAAATATTCACCACTCAATAGAACCGAACAATGACAAAGAATTCAATTCTTAAAAAAATATCATGCAATATTTCAAATAACAAATAAATTGTCATACTTGAATCACTCTAACACTCCTCTTAAAGTAAGAATAAAGAAATTAACGCGTTTGCAACCGCGAGACAATTTCACTCACCTGGAAAACAATGCTAATAACAATTCAATTCATACATTCCTCTAATTAATCAAAAATGAAATCATGGAAGCAAAAGATCACTAAGGTCTTGTAAGGTTGTAGCTTGGTCGGGTTCACAACAAAGAGACATTTCTAAAGGTTATTGAGTCGAAATTGCCAATGCAAAAGAAACATTCATTATACATGGTATTTACACATCACAACTTCATGCACCGTTTTCTTTTCTCTATTACAAACCTTCTCAAACTTCCTTTTGTACAATTATTTCATTCTCTATTTTTCTTTTTCAAACAAGTATTATTTTTCTTTTATTTTTCACATTAATATTCACATTTTTTTCCATGCTTGCTTGAAAATTTTCAAAATTTATAGCAACCTACCATTTTCCTTTTTGTTTTCCCCAACTTGAATTCAACCAAACCTCAAGTGAATGTTCCTTGCTTTTTATGGCAAGGAAATCAATTCAAAACAATGTTCAAAGGTTCAAGATTTTTTTTTAGAATCTCACAAAATACAATGATGAACTAAACTTTCAAATTATGTATATAAACCATGTTCATCACTAAAAATAGTTAAGCATGAATCAAATGTATTAAACAAAGCTATCAGTCATTCTAGCATATAGTTAAATAATGAAGGTTTCTCACAATTTGTGGCTTTTGGTCCTAAGTGAAACAAGCATTCAAACAAGTTGCAACAAGAAAAAAGAATACACATTTGCACAAAGCACAAAATTCTTAAATCATTCTAGCATTCTATAAAGTGGTACAATTTACCTTACTTGCATTCACATACACAACATCCTACCATTACCATCCAGACTTGGGAGAATCTTCATTGGATACTTTTATACAAATATCAACCAATCTAGAAGAGGTTCTCATCATGCATCCATAAACAACACTTAAGAAAACAAGTATGTATATATATATATATATATATATATATATATATATATATATATATATATATATATATATATATATATATATATATATATATATATATATATATATATATATATATATATATATATATATATATATATATATATATATATCACTACTACAAAATAGTTTTATAATAGCGCTTTTTTTGCTTTTTAATAGCGCTTTAAAGCGCTATTAATCAAGGCGCTATTGTAAAACAAAATTTTTAATAGCGGTTTAAAAGCGCTATTAAACACAGGTACTATAATAGCGTTTTTGAAAAAGCGCTATTATAGTACCTGTATTTAATAGCGCTTTTGAAAAAGCGCTATTATAAGTCACATATTTGATAGCGCTTTCAAACAAAGCGCTATTATAGTACCGGTAATTTGCTTTAATTTTGATAGCACTTTCAAACAAAGCGCTATTATAGTACACATATTTAATAGCGCTTTCAAATAAAACGCTATTATAAGACACATATTTAATAGCACTTTCAAACAAAGCGCTATTATAATGCACATATTCGATAGCACTTTTAAACAAAGCGCTATTAAAATACCGGTAAATTGCTTTAATTTTGATAGCACTTTCTAACAAAGCGCTATTATAAGATGGTGTTATAATGGAGAGCTTTATTATGAAATGGTGTTATAATGGGGAGCTTTATTATGAAAAATAAGAAAAATGTATTTTCAAATAGAAGTTATATAGATAAGTTGATCACTTTAGAAAAGTCGAAAACTCGTTAAAATCTAGTGAAAGAACTTGAATCGTCATTTAACTATTTGCAGCAGAATAATTTGAACCCCTATACAAGTCCAAGCTAACAAAATATGAAAAAACTACAAATCCCTACTCGCAACGGCTTGGTTCACCTCCAAGATCAAAGACAAGAATGTTCTTTTCTCCACCTTTCTTGTCCAATCCATAAGCAATAGCCGCAGTTGTGGGTTCATTGATGATTCTAGCAACATTGAGACCGGCAATGACCCCGGCATCCTTGGTGGCCTGTCTCTGGGCATCATTGAAATAAGTTGTACATTCCAAAAGAAACCGATAAACATTAGTATAAAAACAAAAGGTGAAAGAAAACAATCAAGATTTCATGAGGAACAATATAGTTGGCTTATTCACCTGGGACAGTAACGACAGCATCACGGATTGTCTTGCCAAGGAATGCTTCAGCGGTTTCCTTCATCTTAGTCAGAATCATAGCACTGACCTCCTCAGGACTGAACACCTTGGTTTCACCATCCTTTATTTTGACCTGAATGTATGGTTTTCCATCCTTGTTAACAATCTTGTAAGGAACAAGCTTCATGTCTCTCTGAACTTCCTTATCTTCAAATCTGCAGAAAGAAACAACTCAGTCAACATTAACTCCATCAAATCAAATAATAACAGATCATTTATTAACAACGTATAACAATATCTTACTTTCTTCCGATAAGTCTCTTAACATCAAAGATGGTTCTTTCAGGGTTAACAGCTGCCAAATTCTTTGCAGCCTCACCAAGAATTTTCAAAAGCTTGGAAAAGGAAACCTAAGAATTTTAAAAAGTGATAACAAAAAATGATCAACTCTGCAAGACAAATTGTTGAACCAAGGATCATGCCACCCTGTCTTTGGCTATGTGTGCTTGTCAATAAGATATAGGAAGGAAAAGACCAAATAATAAGAAAAGGAATAAACATAATACTCACAGATATATGATTCTTGCTAGTATCTAAAATCACTCCTCGTGCAATAGTTTGATGGCTTGACTCGTTACTCAATATCTAAAAAGTAAATAAACATGAGTTGCTAATTAAAAAATAAATTCACTCTATACTACTTGTTCACATAATTATTTGACAACAGTAAGTTAAAATGTGTATTTGAGTGTATTGCAAAAGGAAGGATTCTTTGCAGGTATTGAACATAATGTTGGTTCAGATCTCTGCATTAATATTTAAAAGACTACAATATAGTCTTGAGGACTGATACCCTGCACATATTAATCATACAAGAACAGACTTAGCTCTCAACTCTCCCGACATTTTGGATAATAATTGTTAATAAGTCAGTCATCCACTACTTGTTAACAATATACCTAAACCCACTTCCACCAGGGGCTTCAATGAAAGTATCATAAACCAAGCATTATTAATGTACAAAATCATAAACCTATATAAATAGTTATGTTTCAATCAGTAAGCATATATAAATAGTTATTTCTAAATCATAAACCAATCATTATTAATGTACAAAATTAATCGTATAGCCTTTGTTGCTTTGGAGATAAACCAAGATAGTAGGATATAATTATAACATTACTATAAAGTGAATATAATAAATTAAAGCTCCAACTACAAAAAAAAAACAGACAAGGAACACCAACATAAATATCTAAAGCTACACCATGAACAACCACCTATTCCACAGAACACCAAGAACAGCCACCTATATCAAATAGCCCCTATACGAATAATGAACGGAACAAAATAGAGCCGAAAACAATGATATACCAGGGCAAACACTGTAAACCAGAGCTGAACTAAAACAAAGGCTTACTCGAAGAAATGAAGAACGAAAAAGATGAAAGTTATTCTGAATTTTGCAATCATATTTATAATTGTGCTCAATCCTACTAAAAAGATGTAGCGCAAGACAAGTTGGATACCTTTGGATACCTGATCGAGCCTCCTATTGAACTCATTTTGAACATCCTTAGACTGCTGCAACATTGCTTTACGAATTGGAGCATTGCGACATGTTTTCCAGCCATAAAGCCTATCAACCTGCAATGTTGCAAGAATAGTGTGACAGTACTGAGAAACCTGTCAAGAACATTTATATTAGAAGCAGTAGATCATACTGTCAGAGTTTCAGGTTTGACACCAATTGCTGCAGCCAGTAGCTACCATCTCAAAAATAATTTACTAGTTTATTGCAGCAGGTGACATTATTAGGCTACAACAATTATATGGCGAGAAGTTTGATCAATTACCGACAGAAAAAAAATTCCATAACAAATTTCTTAACCATACAAAAATCCAGAGTAGCAGTAGTTTATATTTCTAAGATTCTAACACAAATTAGGTTACTATATTTCTTATGCTGGTCAGATACACTAAAAGCAAGAAATAGTAAGAAGTATGGAATAGGACCCAAATTGCTACGGTACCAAGTGTGTTATTTTCGACAATTACACAAATTTCAAGTATATTTCTGTCAGTGTAAAGTAAAAACTATCAATGCAATGCAAATCTCACCAGCAGTTTTAGCAGGTATGCCCGTTTTAATCTCTTTACCAGGTTCAATTTACCGATGCTCATGGTTAATATATGCTACATCCATCAAGCCACATCCTACAAAAGAAAAGTACTTAAACCATGAAAACTCAGCTCATGTTATAACGTCATTTACCGATGCTCAATCCTGCACTCTGCACAAGTTTACTCCCATCACTATATTTGTACCATAAATCATGACCTCACAGTCACGCCAGAAAGGAAACCGGACTTACCGTCGTTACCTTTTTCGCCTTTCAAAACCAAACAACAAGCCATTAACTCTCAATCCAGACCTGTAGTTCGAAACACCAAAGTCACATCAGAGTTGTTCTTGCTTTTGTGTGATACATATAATATGAACAAGTAGGAATTAATAAAGCAATATTCATTACCACTACAACTCTCAAACACGGCCTTCCGCAACAACTCGACAAACCACGAAACTCTTTTGCTTCTTCTGTGACATTATACACAAAATAACCTATTGAAGAATTTCAATTTCCCTATAAACCTACTAATGAAGCTATGTGATATTAAGGCTGCTACAAGCATTGTTCAAAACCCAGTGCAGCACGACAGAACCAAACTTATGAAAATATGAAAATTGATAGACACTTGACAAAAGGGAAAATAGATGACAGAGATATATGTAATTCATTTGTTCCATCCACTCAACAACTAGAACACATCCTTGCCCGCAGAGTTATTTCAACCTAAGTTTAAACTTTTTGTAAGCATGTTGAACATGATTGATATCTATTCACCAATTTGAGGGTGTAAAGATAGCTTGAACTTGAACTAGTGTATATCACAGTTATTGAATATTGGCCATGGTGGTGTCAGGCTGATATCAATGGCGGTTTATGGGCTTCGCCGCAGGGGTAAATATCGGCTGATACTGGGGATTTTTCCGCCATAACCCACTATGATGGTGCCACGAAGCAGACAATTTAGTGTGGATAGATTAAGATCTGAATTACTTTGTTTTATAGCTTATCCTTTGTGGTTCTATTTATGTATCCTAAGTTGTAGCAAATTAGTTTATAACCAACTCCGTTTTTATTGAAAGCTAGAGATTCTTCAAATATGATGCCTGCATATCCTATTACAAATAGCAATGTCATAGCAAGATCCTGCCGCAAGAAATCACATAGAACTTCCAACTTTCAGAATTTATCATACTCAAAGATTTTTCTACAAATGCATGTACTTCATTGTGAAACATAGCAGAAGTGAAATCAGGTAAAATGACAATACCGAACCTGATTAGTAGCCACCCAAGAATGGTTAATTGCTATTGTCCCAGTTGCAGCCGCCACAAATACCGCAACTGCTTTAAGTAAATCAGTCTTGGGCTGATAGTTGTCTTCGAAATCTTGCGAGCTTGTTTCATCAACTGAACATAAGGGATCACAAGTTCCAGATTCTGATGTCAAATCCTATTACCAAAATTAACCCCTTAGTATATGAGAACCATATTCCATAACTTTGTAATAACCGTACTAATAAATTAAACACAAATTTTGATCTTTACTGGATTACTGAGGCACCCTTAACCTTAAGTTCAAGCCAATCATAAATACACTACCATAAAGTTCAAATCAATCAATAACTATGCTACCATAAAGCTCTTCACCAATCAAGCATTAACTGACATTCTCAAAAGTAAAGACATGTATAAGATGGATAGACATTTACCCCAATACTCCGTATCACCCATAAGCCAATAAAAAGCAAGATAGACAAGTGATGTTGCACATCCTCTCTATCCTACACAAAATGCAATTTACAAGTATATATTATTAATAACGGTGTTGGATTTATTAGGCGATGAATGCCAGCGAAGTAACCTGCAGGAAAATTTCCCTAGGATACAAATACGTTATCTAGGACCAAGCACCATTAAAACAGAAACATAAGCGTACCAATCTAAAAGGCAGTGTAAATTCAATTTTGAAGAGACTACCAAAAAACTAGTAATATGCATCACTGTTAGCCAAATTCGTGCATTAAGGATGAAAGTCATAACACTTACTGCGTAGGGTATTCAAATGATGTAGCAATCATGTTTCTCCAACCAAGATAGCCTTGACAATATCACAGTGACGGTGCCTGCAGAGTTTCCATTATGACCTTATAACAAAACATAAACAACTCTCAAACCAATCTTATTCATACATAAATAAACAAATGAAGCAGTACACACCTGATTGCTGCTCGCACGACTCATATCTTATGTAGCAGCCACACCTGATTCACCTTCGGCTGCTATCGTAACCACCTCAATAATGCACAAGAAAAACCATGCTTATCACAATTTAGAAACCAATAAACTAAATTCCATTTCCTGTACAGGACAAAAAACGATAGAATCAAAAAGACCACACCACAATATTTCGTACGAAACGGTTATGTAGAATTCCCACAGCAATAACCAGTACGTCCAAAAAGCAATTTTGCAGCCTCAACTTGTACTATTTCATTGATGTTACAAGAAAACCGTACGCCTACGCCAGCTCACGTAAAAACCGTATCAGTATACATGATTCCAACAGCAAACTTTTGTGAAAAAAATTCAAAAGAAAACCTCACCTGCAAACAAAGGACCGATAACAAAACAGAAACACAGAATAAACCTTCTCTTCTTCATTCACAAATACCTTCATCTTCGAAACTCGATTCACTCCATTATAACCTGCAAAACCCACCTCCTCTTTAACCTTCAATTCTGCTAAATAAAAAAACCCTTCTTCAAAAAACTTCTTCAACATCAACTTTTGAAACCCCATTTATCATTCTTCTTCAATCCATAATGAAAACCACAACCCCAAAACCTTCTTGATCCCTCAAAAATGGTCAAGCCCAACCCTTCTTCTTCATAAACGGGAACCCGTTTTTTCTTTAAAACCCATTTGAAAATCCCTCAATCCGCCATTAAAACCCCAACCTCCAAAACAAAAACGAAAGGAGCTCAGCTTCCATCGCACCTTCGGTTTTTCTTCTACCCGGCCCTTTCACACCATCGCGTTTCTTCCTTCTTCTGACCACTTTCAAACTCACTTCATATTCAATCCAGAAAAGTCACCAAAACTCTGTCACCATTCATAAAATACCCTTCTCTAAGTCGAACCAAAATACAAGCAGTTTTGAGAAACTGAGATGAAGAAGATTGAGATAAAAAGTGAGAAAAAATCTGAGTTTAAAACATGATTTACGGATGAATTCGAAACTTGAATCAAATCGAGAAAATCAGAATAGATGAAGAAAGAGACTGGATCAGGTTGAGAGTAGGTCAAAATTGAACCTGATTGAGCTGGGACGAAAGGATGCGAAAGCGGATTGTAAGGGGATACACGTCGTCGTTTTGATGGTGCTGTTCGAAAATGATTGTGAGCTGATATGTGTATGATATTGTTTGTTTCATCTTGATTTTTTCTTTCTTCTTCTCACCTAATTCACGTTAGCCGCTATGCGTTTCATTTGGTGTTAGAGCTTCTGTGAAGGTTTTCATATTTTAATTAATTTAATTTAGTGAAATACTACGATAGCGCTTTATAAAAAAGCGCTATCTTAAAACACAATTATAGAAACGATAGCGGTTCCATAGAAAGCGCTATTGTAGTTACATATTTTAATTTTTAAAAAGCGCTATTGTAGTGCTTTTAATAATAGCGCTTTTATAAAAGTGCTATTGTAATACAACATTTTAATAGTGCTTTTTAGAAAAGCGCTATCTTAGTGAATATCTATAATAGCGCTTTTTTACAAAGTGCTATCAAAATCATATTCTCTGTACTCTTTAATAGCGCTTTACTATAAAGCGCTATTATAAATATGTTTGTTTCCTTTTTAATAGCGCTTATTTAAAAAGCGCTATTAAAGTAGGCGATACAAAAAACCAATTTTGGCGTAGTGTGTGTGTGTATATATATATATATATATATATATATATATATATATATATATATATATTGATCTGACCTGATCAGAAGGAGACCAAGGACTTGCCACACGCCATTAATTTGTTGCCTGTTCACCGGTGTTGAAAAGGAGATGGGGGTGTGCCTGCAAGACACTCTGATGCCAAAGTAGGAGTTTGGACAGAGTGACAGCAAATACAGAAAAGGGGTAAGAAGTGAATACCTGACCCTCTTGGAGAAGAGGGTATTTATAGAGGGACCTTAGCGCAGAGCCAACGGTCATTTGAGTTGGGCTGGATGGCCAGGCCCAACCCAAGTGACTGCTAGGGCTTACGCGGCATAGTGAAGACCAGAATGTGGTCTTCGCCCTAGTTCAACTGCTCCGTGAACTCCGGAAAGTGGGTTGACCTGCTCTTTCGGAGGTGGACAGTTGGTGGGTGACGTGTCCCCGCAGAGGGGAGCACATGGAGAACGTGTGAAGGACACGTTGTTCTGCTTGACAAGGGAGAAGGTCCTGCCCGCAGAGGGACATTGCCTGCCCGACAGGGAATCTGTGCTCGACGGTTGTGGCCCAAGTTGGATTGGGCTTGGCAGAATATCATTGGGCTGGGCCTGCCCGGTCAAGCCGGGGCCCAGTTCAGAACAGGAGCCCCCCAAGTCGTAGCTCTGAGGGAGGGAGCGAAGACTTGTTGACGTCGTGCCAAGGAGGAGAGGCTAGCTTGAGGAGAAAAACCTCTAACTCGTATTCCGCGGGGATGCGAGCACGTGAGCCCTTCCTCGTCATCGGGTGCCCGAGGGTTGAGGACACGTGTTGGCGGGGAGACGGGACGAGACGCGTGTAACAACCCAATTTTAAATAACTGATTAATGGTACTAGTTAATTGGTTTGTATGATTTAAGTGAATTATTGGATTTAACTGATTTATTCTATTTGGTAGGATAATATGGACTTACTAGATATTCTCTAATTAAGGATGAGATAGGATATTTTATGAGAAAATGAATTGGTAAATATTTTGAGAGAAGAAATAAATTGGAGAGAAATAGAGGGAAAGATATATAAGGGAAAGTGGGAGGAACATGTAAAATAGAAAACATGAAAGAAAGGTGGAGGAAGAAGAG